AATTTCAAATTTTTTATCATTTTTTCTTTCCTCCTACCTTTCTTTCTTTTTCGTGCAATAGAATTTAAATGGGAAGATTTTTAAAAAATGTGTATAATATCCTGAGATTTTTTAAAATATTAAACTCTTTTTTACTTAAAAAAAAAGAAAAAAATAATAAAAAATATGACACGATCAGTGGCATTTAAAGAAAAAACCAACAACGAGGCCAAAAATTCGTAACATTTCGTAAAAAAAATTGAGTATTGGGACTTGTTAGATATAAAGACATTACCCAGACGCTTTACACGCAAAATTCTATATAAAGTTCTTGGAAGTTTTATAAAAACTTTCTTATACACCTGAGTTTTATTTTAAATTGTTTTTTTTTAAATTGAAATAAAATTCATGTACTCATTTTGTGTTGAATGTATTGCAGAGTTTTTTCAGTTGGTGATTTTAGAACCAACTAAAATTTTTTGTGAATTTTAGTTTTAAAATCAAACTCATTCAAGAATAAAAATTATGTGAGAATTGTTTTTGAGTAATAGAATAAAAAAATTGCACGGTTTTAGTTAATAATCAAAACAAAAATCTTCTCCAAGGCATTATAGATCAATTATTAAATTTCAACACATTTAAATAAAAATTATTTAGAGTCGCAGTGTAAGATATTTAGGTTTTGTGCTTTAATGCAGTGTAAACAATTTTTCTATAAATACAATTTATAAGAAAAGTTTATTATGTATATATGTATTTAAAAAATAATGGGAGCAAGAAGTGCTCCCATGTGGTTGATAAAAAAATTGAGAAAAGCAAAAAGTAAATTCATCGTAAATTAATGTATGTTTAATATATTGTATATATTTTAATAAAATTTTAAAAAGACAATCATCTAAATCACGACTAACAGAAATATGTCAAGATCTAAATACAAAAAATACAATGTTGTTATGTTTAAATACAATACATAATATATGTATATCTCATGTGATTTGTACATTACACATAAAATGCTTAAAAATATATTTGATGCTCAAACTTTTTTAACTTGCAAAAAGGTTTTGCTCTTACAAATTATTTGCCTGAATATTACGTTCTTTTGTAATTATTTAATTTTGTTACCTTCGATTTACTGGTATGAACGAACCATATTCAAACAACTTTTGTTACAAATTTACTTTGGCGCGTTGTTCTTGTATGTGCTTTTGTTGTTTTTGTATGGCGCGTTGTTTTTGTACTCACGAGATTTTTCGCACTAGATTAGAAAAAAGTGATTGCAGGAAATTTTATAATGGTAATTTGAAACGAAAAACAAAAAATATGATAAAGTATCCCGTTTTGGCGAAAAATATGTAAAATTTATCTATTATTTAATATTTCTGTTTTTAATTGAGAAGTTTAGTGAAATGGTCCACCAAAATTAATCTTTTCAGAAGCTAAAATATCAGTATTCTAATTTAAAGGTGAAAATCAGTATTCTAATTGAAAGAAAAATGAGATACAATTTCATGGAAATTAACGAAAAATTTTTCTTAATTCAACTAGAATCCTTTTATAGCTCCATTTCCTTTTGTATTTTTTTTTAATATATTTATATAACGAATCAATTCTGTATGTAAAATTGATTATTTTTACAAGTTTAATACCATTGTTATGATCGGCGAAGCGAATGGCTAGGCGAGTCGAGTGGACTAGACGAATCGAATAATATTTTAAATTATAATCGGCGAATGCTTTCATTCGCCAGATCCAAAATGTTGCTATTGCAAGATATCAGAAAATCTCCCGAAAATAATAAGGTTAACACAATAACACCACACATAAGTACATTATTTTTGCTTTTTTGCAAAAACAATTGAATTTTTCTATCTTTTGGTAATGACGGGGTTTTTGTCCATTAATTTATTTAAATGCTCAAATTGTTTTAGTTCGTTTTTTACGCTTAAATTAATATTAAACAATCAATATTTTTTAAGATAGTTTAGATTCTCCATTACATCAATATAAATGCTATAATATCAAATAAAAAAAAACAGTTATTATTTTAATTTTTGGTTTCATTCGGCAAGCTTGTCACACAGCATTTTCATTCGTTATAAATATCCTAAAATTTATTCGAATTCGCTTTCATCATACCAAAAATTCATATTCGCCAAAAATTCCATTCGCTTCGCCGATCATAATAAAGGCCTAAATATGTAATTGAACATTTTTTTCTATATTAATATTTTCGTTTGAAAATTCCATTTTCTTAGTGCATGTAATTCATAGCAATATGACAAATAGTTCAAAATATTAGTTTGAAATTGAGATTACAAATTTTATTAGTTACACATATTTACATTTATAATATGATGACTTATTTACAGAGTTGTAAGTGAAGGATTACATACTATTGATGCTGCAAATATAAATTTAAATGAATTTGTGTTTTAGTTAAATTTTGATTATACCTGTAAAAGTGTAAAGATATCAAAATTCGTTCGAATAATTAGAAAAAGATATACATAGTATTTCATAAACTGCTTTTGTTTGTAAATTGCGTAAGGTAATACAAAATTTGTTTTTACTTAAAGGCTCGAAATGGAATTCGTTTTATAAAATAGTATCAAATTTATATGAGATATTTTAAATATTTGAAAAGTATTTTTGAATTTGATACCTAGGAAAATGATAAATTTTATTTTTAACTAAATGAAGTTCATATGTCACATTGAATAATATTATTAAAAATATTTGACTTTTAAATGGTCAATATACATTATTATATAAATATTAAATACCTATAAATTTATTCGCAGTATAATTTAAAACTTTATTGAATTTATTTAATAAGAATGAAGATTTCAATATAAAAAACAACACAAAAAAAACTGAAAATGGTACTTTTTTTAGAAAAAAAAAACTGACAATTCATAGTTTCATTAGATGTAGAAGAAAAAATGGTCAAATAAGAAAAATGAAGTAGTTCAAAAAGGAAATTTTAAATATTTAACATTTCAATATTTAGCGAAGATGTTAAGGCGGTGTTGCTAGTATGATAAAGAGAGGGTAACGCGATTATTATATATATGTATATTGTAAATATAAAGTTACAATCAATTTCTCAACATTACGTTGACAAATTACCAACACTACTACAATATTTTGTGAATATTCGCCACACGAAAATTCACGTTTTATAATTTTATTAATTTTCTTGTCAAAATATAGAAAATATTTCAAAACATATCTAAAATTTGTATTATCGAATTTTATTATAATAATTATAATTAAAATGTTATTTCTAGCCAAAAATGGGTGAAAAAGCATACAAAATTTTTAGTTGTGATAAAATTGCAAAACGAAGAGAAATTCTGCAAGGGCAAAAATTAAAAACAAAAATTTTGTTTTCTCAAATATAAAAAGAAATCATCAAAAGAAAGGAAACTAAATTTCCCAAAGTAAACTGAACAAAGGAAGAAATACAAAAGCAACTTCTTAATTTATTTTCCACTTATAAAAGAATTTTTCGTGTTTACTATTTTTAAAATTTTAATATTTCTTCAAATTAGCATGAATTTTCTTCTATTAGGTGGTTAATTAAGATTTGTATTAATGTTTTTAAAAAATAACGTTAATTGGAAATCAGATTAAAACATCCACCATTTTCAAACAAATACAAGAAATAATGAAATATGCACAAAAGATCTCAAAAATTCAACACTGCGCTACCGCAACAGTTAAGCATCGTAACATGATATTACAGTCTTACAACGACACCACAGCTAAACTTACGCAGTGGCCTATTTTTTGTTTAGATTTTGATTATATTCAAGTACACAACAGAATCCAAAAATAATTTTTCAAAACATTTTTTTAAAAAAGCTTTTAAAGTTTTAAGAATTAGTATCAAAATAAGTACATATGTAAGTATATTCAAATTCGCTATTTGGATTCAAGGAATAATTTAAAACAAAATGAAACTAGTTTTATTACTTTAATATTAATTTCTAGTCCTGCGAAATATGTTTAACAAAAATTATAAGTAATTTTTGGTTTAAAAAATTTAACGCAATAAGTTATTTTTAGCTTGTCTTTATAATAAATGCATTCATAATAATTTTTTACTTGAAATATGTTTTAAAGTTTAACTTCTTTATGAAACTTTGACTTATTTATGATGACTAAAACTATTATAAATAAAAAATGAGAAATAAATGAAATAAATTAACAAGCAAGAATTAATGTCGGTTAGCAATTGAGACCCATTTTTACGAGTACAAAAAATAGTAAGGGGACGATTATAATTAGCAGACGAATAAACAAGAAATACTACTTAATATAAATGTAATAAACTTGAAAAAATTTTAATGTTATATAAATATTTAATATAAAAATTATAAGTAGAAGTTGGTAAGATCTTAATCAATATTAAATTTTTCAATTTAGTTGTTAATTAGTTATTACTGGTTTTCAAAATAAATTTAAAAATACATTTTATTAACTTAATTTCCCATATTTTTTTGATTGTATTTACACATAAAAAAAATTTTTTTTGTGTTTAAAACTAAACATACTATTTTGTATTAAATTTCTTATATAAATTATAATATTAGAGATGAAATTTGTTTTATTTAGTTTTAAAATTTAAAATTATTTTTTACATCTTTTACTAATTATCATTTATAATAACTTTTTATATCATATTTAATAACTTTTGAATATCTTTTCCTTTTTTTCTTAAAGATTTTTATTTTAATAAATTCCAGAACTGTTCATTTATTGTTTTTTATTTCATCATGCTATATATATACACACATATATATATATATATATATATATATATATATATATATATATATATATATATATATATATATATATATATATATATATATATATATATATATATATATATATATATATATATATATTACATATATATATATATGTATGTATATATATATATATATATATTTATATATATATTATATATATATATTATATATATATATTCGAATAAATATTTTGCTACTTACTACCTAGATAATTAACACATTTTAATAAAATTATCTTACAATGTCATTTCCTTAACATTTAGTTTATTGTTGCAATACTTTTTTATTTTAAGAAGATGCATTCATATTATCGAATTTTCAAATGAAAATTATCAAAAATTTATACAACAAAGGCATGATTATGTTTTCGTCAGCTATAATGCAAACAGGAAATTGATGAAAATTAAATTAAGATAAATAATCCAAATAATTTCAAACGCAATATCTTGATCAAATTAATTGATCAAATTAAAACGCAATATCTTAACGCAATAATTAAAAAACAATTATTTAACCTCTTCAATGTTTTACAATACATATTTTCAAATTTTAAAAGAATATTTTTTCTATTTGTGGAATTCAAAAAATTTGAATATGATATACGCAGCCACATTAACATATTATGTTAGAATTTTTTTATTATTGAGAGACTAAATATGCAATTAATCTTCATAGGAAACGAAATTTTTTTTATAGATATGTATAAATATGGTATGCATCATGTTTTAGAGTCACGCTTTAATATTTATACAAGTATCCTTAGCATATGTTCAACATATATTATGATATTTGCACAAAATGTTTGGGTTTTTTAAGGCCCAATTTGATCCAAATTCCGACAATTATTTTCCACAAATAAAAGTATCTAAATATTATCAAAGATAATTTATATAAAATATATTGCCTTCCATAAAACATAACATAATATGCAAATAATTTTCATCGAAGTTTCAATAATGTTCATAAAAATAGAATGTTTTTCTCTTTACAAAATTCACTGTGATATAACATATTTGTCTGATACACTGTGAAGTAAAATTCTACTGTATTATTCTTTTAATTAAGTTAAGTCATATTTTAGTATTATCCATAGTAGAATTTGTTTAGTGATCAATTGATGCTGAACGTAATGAGCCATAACATTGCTGGCATACTCGAACTGGTTTTAAAATTTTTAATCTCGATATTTCTGACTCAAAGCGACTACATTTATTACAAAAAACTTGTCCACAATTCCGACAATGATGCTTGCGTTCATATAAATTAAATCTAAAATGAATATGATTAAAGTTTTTTTTTTTTCTAAATAAAGTATATTACTTGACGCGACATTTCACACATTGATCAGCACCTTCATCTTTCAACCAATGATCAGCTACCCCACGCCCAGGCTGTTCGCTAACACTCCAAGAAAATATTCTACCTCGAGCGTCACCTAAATTAAAAAAAGATTTTATTAGAAATTTTTGTTTATTTTAATAATATAGGAGTGTTTTAAGTAACAGCATTTTAAAATTAAAAAAAAATAAATGGAACGTTGTTCAGATATTTCGAAAAATATAGAATGCTTTTTATATTATTAAAACTAATTTTTTAGAATTATTTTTATTGTACATTATAATTATTAATATATAATAAAAATCATTCTTTATATACTATTATCATTGAACATGTATGTATAATATACAACCGTTCTTATAAACCTTTCACAAATAAAAAAAAGTTACATTAAAATCGAACTTCATAATTAAGACAAAGTAATTAAGACAAAGAGCCACGCAGACACAAAAAGAATGTTAATCAACAGGTGATTCAAAGCAACATGGACATTTGCTGTTAATAAATTCCTAAGAATATGTCGGAAATTAATACTCGTAGCTTACGAAACACACTATTCCGTAAAAATTTCGGATTATCTTTGAACTTTTTGCTTACCTACATATATAATTTTATGATCTTTAGATACTGTAAGAGCAGTGATACTTGCTGGCTCGGCATTATCTTTACGATCATAGGCTGTGTGCATTGTTAGTTTAGAACGGAATACTAGTTGCTGTTGCCATTTAAACCCTGAAAAATTTGTAAAACATTCTTATAGTCAAGAAGTCGTAAAATATTCTGTCCTACCTTTTCTTAATAAATTTTCGGTTTTATTTTTGCCATCATTATCAATAACAACAAAGGATTCTGTCAAACTGGTATCTGATTTACTTGGTCTAATAGTTCTTTCTTCTACAGCAGATATTTTGTCCACTGAATATGTATTTTGATTTAAAAATGATTTTTAAATAGACAATAAAATTAAAGTTTTATAAATTCACCTAAGCTGCCCGTTTTATCCAGAACTCGACGTTCATCAACTACACTTACAGATTTCAGCTCATGTAACGACTTCGTACCCGCAATACTACTTTTTCTCCTTTCTGAATCTGCCATTAACGGACTAAGTCCTTCTTCATTATCATCTTCATCTCTCTTTTCAGATTCAATTGATTTGAGGGATTTATCAGAAGCATCACATGCTTCTGATAAACTGCTTTCAGAAGCTGACTTAACAATTTCTTTAAAATATTATAATATGTTGGTTTATTTCGTAATAAAGTTATTAAACGGAATGTTACCATTTTCTTCCCCAGATAAACTTTTAATTTTATTAAAAAGATTAATTTTTTTAGACTTTTCTGTGATTTCTGCATCCTGTCCTTTCTCAAGTGATTCCTTTTCTGCGGAACATAGCTCTTCGCACCTCTTTAATTTTTTCTCAAAGATAGGGACTTGAACATATTCCATCGACCACATCTAAAAAAAAAAGAATATATCTTGTATGATGTACCCATATTTTTTTATGAATTAGGCCAAAATAGCTAAATTTTGTTTACTAACTCTAACAACACCATCAGTAGAACCTGTTATAATCACATTTTGCTGATCCCATTCTCTTGTTTCGGAAAATGAAACACATAATATTTGTTGCATTCTATCTGCACTACCAACACTCGTATTAACATTTGCTAAAGCGTCTCCGTTTATAGACCAAACATGCAGCCATGTTGCTGAACAAGTAGCAATGTCTCCACTTAAATCATTGATAGCGACAGCTGCAACAACTCCAACGTGACCTCTAAGTTGTCGGACAAAAGTAAACCTTGACATATCCCAAACTATAGCGGTCCCATCTCTCGAGCCACTTACAATTACATTGTAAGCTGGGCTAGCTGCTAAGCAAGTTACTGCATCAGTGTGTCCATGTAAATTATGCCGTACTGTTAATGTTTTTTTATTTACATCGAATTTCCAAATAGTCACTACAGAACTTGTGCCTGCCGTTACAATCATTTTCGAATTTGGACAAGCACATGCTAATATTTCACCCGAATTTTGTGCCGCAGCTTCACAAACGAACAAAGCTTTATCAGAATCATATATTCCAACACGCAACGAATGATCAGCAAAGCCCCAAGCAATATATCTAGTATAGGCTTGTGGCATCATTATTTTATTTTGTTCCACAGCTAAGACTGTTTTGTCGGGTTGCAAAATTTGCCCAACAGGACCTTTCAGTTCCTTTATTGGTTGTAAAGATGGCTTTAGATTATCTAAATTATGAAAAAATAGTTTATCTGTTTGATTTAATTGTGGTACATTTATCAATGACGACGAATCAATCACAGAATGCCTCAATGTACCCATTTTTTTTGCCGGGTGGTTTTTTTTAAATAATTGCTTTGGGATTTGCCCAAAATTATTTATAAATCCTATTGTGGCATTTTTTTTTAAGGGATCCTCGATGCTAAAATTTTAATCTGTCAAAACAAAATACAATATAAATAAAAATTTTGTAAGCTTACTTGTATATATCGACATTTCCTTCATAAAATAAATGATGAAAAACGTTCACAGCCTCAACAGCCGGAGGACCTTGCTGTTTGCAACCAAATATTAAATCAATCCACTAAAAAAAATGTTTCAAAGAATGGTTTATAAAATTATAAAGGGAGGTATTATATTACCAGATGTAAATTTTGACTAACATAATCACACTCTAAGGCATTACGATGCATTCGTATGAACTCACGTGTATCCTGTTTTGCCCATGGTGGTAGCACAACATGATTTAATGTATCTCCGTTTTGTTTAGTCCCCAAATCAAAATTGTTTGAATTTGTCAGAAACTCGGGAAGATAAAAAAATTCTGGAATTAATTCCTTTACATCCGCCATATTAAATTTGCTTGCTGAAAGCCAAGCTTCCTTGATACTGTGAAACATACGATCTGCTAAATCAAAGTGACCACCTTGAAGGCGAAGAAAATGTTGAGTAAATGGTTCTAGTCGAACTAAGTAAGAACAAACTATCATAGCTGAACTGTAATGGGTACCATAATGATAAGGTGGAGTTTCACCATGTGGATCATCCCATTCCTAAAGTAATATATTAAAAAAAGATTTGTTGTTTTAATAACCAACCGCAAATAATATAGATTTCCAAACCTTATATCTCTTTTGAAATTGTTCCAAACGTTCTTCAGACTGCGCTCCCATTGGCTTTGAAAAATCTCGAAACGTTTTCGAATTAGCTAAGTCTAATTCTTCAGAATCATAATCTGCCAAGATCCAAGGAAAAACTGGATACTGCATTAGATCGTTGTATGATCTTCCAGCTAAAGTATTCAAGTGCATCAAATATTGAAAATTTGATATTTCACCACGCTGAAATTTGGAATATTTTAAACGCATTTTTTTAAAAGCTTAAATTTACTTACCACCCATCTCTGTGTCACGGAAGTTTCTCCTATTAAGCTGCTGAATATTCCTGAACTTTGTTCTACGCTCGCAGTACGTTTTTGTCCCGCCACTGACTGTTGTGCATTATCATTAATTGCGGTTGCATGTGCTAAAAACCTCTGATATACTTTATTTCGAACTTTTCTTGGAAAACTTAGTAAATAATTTCGACCATCTTCAGAAAAAACCTCCAAGGCAATTGGTTGCAATAAATATCTTCTTTTGTGTACCTCACGAATTTCTTCATAAGAGAATTTAGAACATTGCCTCATTTTTTGTGCACAGCGAGAAGTACCACCAGAATTCGGTATTATAGGTTCATATGCCCCAGGTGGAAGCGTATCTATATCTCGAATATCTCGATTTTTTAATAATGTAAAACCATCTACTATATAACAATGTTCTTTTCCGAATAACAATAAACCTTCGGTTGTATCCAAACCTTGTATTCTTGCACATCGAAACATGTAAGAAATTTTTTCTTGCTCTTCCAGCAGACGTAAAAATGTTTGGTTATCAGCGACCATTGACATGTCTTCCTCTTCCTCTTCTTCAGCATCTTCATGAACACCATCTATAGTTTTTTGTACTGTATTTTCATTATTAGCGTCTGTTGGACTTTGTGGTGGTGTATTACTTTCGCTAGATTGTTTATTTGTTATCTTAGAAGTAATATTCTCAAAAGAAGGTTGCAGATATGGAAATTGATGATCGGTTTCACAAAGTATACGGGGTTGTTGGTGACAATAAGTAAAATAAATTTTACTATCAAGACTGGTTGCTACTTTATATTTTAATTGACGCTAAAAGATATAAACGAAATAAATTCTTTCCTTTTATTATTTCAAAACCAATACTTACATTGTCAGGTAATTCAATTTCAGGCCGATAAGGATACTGCAAATAAAATATATCATTTTTCATAGTTTTTTTTCGCATTCTATGTGGACCTTCTGTTGAGTCTAACATCCATTTATCAAGAGGGGGGGTTTTAACTGAACCCCAGAGGCCTCGCTCTCGGGTTAATTCAGTCTCCGACAGTATCCAATCTTGATAGACGTATCTCTGGGTATGTTGGAGCATTTGCATGTGTTGTTTAACCCGCATCTCCCAAAGATCTTTTATTAATTGAACATGAATTCCTGTATATCCAAATGCTTCCCCCTTACTCATAGTAGATTTTACACGGACTAATTCTTCTTTTTTTACTTTTGTTCGACTTGCTAATCTTGTTAGCCCGCCGGTTACTTTTTGAATTTTTGACTGAATTTGGTTATGTATCTCCCACGGAATTCTATATGAAGCTTTTCTCTCGGCATCCACATAATTAAACCAAAGTTTAGAAGCTAGTTCCATTACCTGTTCCCTGGTTGTTTGCAAATCTGGAGCTTTGAAATTGTTTATTGGGACAGTGAGTGAAACTTTAAAAACCTCTTCAATAGCGGGTTTTTTACATACGTACAACTCTTCCCAAACCCGAAATGATGCACCAACAATCAAATTTCGACCTTGCAGTTGGTTTAGTTGATCATCTCTTGGTTCAATATCTTCATTCTGTGGATTAACATGCCATGTTGTTGCTCTATTAATTGAAGGTTCTAAAACAATTTTCATGTCAGAAGTCAATTGCATTAAACAATACGTTAAGCAGGCAATAAACTCCAATTCATGATTGCCTGCTCCAAAGATTAACAAACGATTTGTAATAATTTTATGTAAAGCTTCTAAAACTGATGTCTGGTCTGTAATAGAATCTGTGGGTCTAGACAGTAAATATAAAATTGTTCGATTTAACGAATGATGTAACTGTTCTAAAGAAAGAGCAGAAGACCGTTTTTTTGCTTGAGCAATTAATTTAATAATAAAGTCAAAAACTTCATGCGGGTTTTTTGTTAAACATCCTTGCCACATCTTATCAACTACTCTCGCAGTGAAGTAAAATACGTTTGGTGCAATATTTTGTACGTGAGATTGCAGTAAAGGTACAATTGGAAGAGCTGCCTGTTCACCGACCAAGACGTCGGCCGCCAATAAATGTTCCATTAAAGCAGTTACAATTTCAGTTTGAAATTCTATTTGTTGATATATTTCTGCAGATTCTGGAGAGGCATCTAAAACCAAATCAATTACTGGGGTACTTTTACCGTGCATTGACAAACTTAACGAATCAACGACAATCACCCTTAAGAAATCAATTACAAATTTTCTCACTGAGTGTTGGGTTAGTTGGGACGTGTAAGAAACGGAAACATTATGACTGCGTATTAAAACGCAATTTCCACTATTAGTATCGTCCGGAGTCGAGGTTCCACTATTAAGCGCGGATTCTTCTTCACTTATAGTTCTATTCTTTGGAAATGGAAAGAGAACTGCAACTAAAGAGGTAATAACATCTCCTGACATCATGGTAGGCATAAAATCGGGTAAGTTGTGATATAAAGAAAATAATACTTGAATTATAGTTTCTGGATGATTATACAACCATTCAATGGTTTCACTAATATGTACAATAGCACGAACCATACCAAGAAGCACACAAACAGCCTCAGGACAGACATTAACTTTAACAGAAGATGCTGATGCATGAGATACGGGGGCGCCCCATAAGAATGCCCAAACTCGATCTAGATCAAACTTTGTATGCTCTGAAGCTAATAATTTAACCGGCTGACCCATTATTAAAGCGGTTATCAAAAAATATAACTCTGGAACATCTAAATGATGCTGAAGCAACCATTCAAGCATCTGAAATCCTGAAAATTTTAAAACACGAAGGTTCAATTTAAAATTATTAACGTTTTAAATTTCTAAACAAGTTACCTGGAATATGTAAAACGGATGTTTTAACCTCGCCAGCAATTTGAGACGGTAAGTGAGATAAATTTGCTTGCATAACCCCATTGGAAGCTGGCCCACCGCTTAATTGTGTTGCTCCGAGACAAATACTTTTTTTTTGTGAAATAAGTTCAGTGAATTTTAAATAGCCACCATTATGAGTTGCATCCCTAAATCTAACCATAAAGCTCTCGTTTGCACAAACAACTACCAATATTCTAACAGCTATAATAACTGTTGTAAAGTGAACCTGTGGTTGCATGAAGAGTAGCAACCAATCCATTCCAAGAATTTTTGAAATATCATCACATATCACATAATTTACGGTATTTCTTGGAGTAAACAGTAGTCCATGCAATAAGGAAAGACAACGGTTTCTTAAGTAAACGTTTTGTCCTATAATATCATTTTGATCTAAGGAACCTTTATCTTTTTTTATCATAACAGGCACATTTATTGCTCTCTCAGAACAGTTTGTTCTTGGTAGTTTTGCAGCTATATATTGTCCAAATAGCAACAAGTCATTATGTTTCGGCTGCTGGCCTAATAAGGTTTCGATCAAGTTAAATAAAATTTCTCTCGTAGAATGATCATTTATATCTACTATAATATGTAAAAGTTTACTAACAAGCTGTAATTCTCTCATTATTTTTATGTTCTGGCGTTTTTCATTCGACTCAATTGCCAACTCTAATAAATGCTCTAATAGTGATCTAAGTAATCCATTTGGAGCACCATGCCATATTTCTAAATCACACAACAAATCTTGGAATGCTGTTATATTTGGAATAGCAGACATTTCTTGACCACTGTTAACAGTTCCAACTAGTCCAAAAGTTAAATGAAGGATATGTGAATTTAAAAGGTTTTTTTTTTTCTTAAAAAACATTCCCAAGGTTTGATAACTTCTTTTCCGATCCATTTCATTTTGAGCTGCCCGGTTTGACTTTACAACGCAAGTTAAAGCTTTTACCCCTGCATACAAACTTTCTACATCTTTTGCCATAGCTATTATGCCCAAAAGCACATTGCAGCCGCCAACGGTATCAATCATAGCAGAAACTGGGTGTGGGCTAAATACTCTTACACCCAAATAACCAACAACCACTCCTCCTAGGCATCGCCCTGGACCGGCAAGATGGCCAGCTGAATTATGTAGTATTCTGAAAACAAAATCAATATTTAGTAAAGATAATTGTACAATAAGTGCGTTGTCACAATAATTTACTTAATAGGTGTAGCGTTTTCATGTGAATTCATTCCAAGTTGCTTCGCAATAGATTTATTGTCGGTTCGACTGTACACTTTCCGAATTTTTGCTAATGTCATCTGCGTCATTGCTTTTGCATTCAAACCTAAAAGCACTCTTTCTTCTGGAGCCAAAGGCGGTAACGGTTCCGCATGTTTTCCTAATTGTGGAGCTTGCAAGGAGCCCATATAATGAGGGCCTAAAGCATATACCGTTTGAACAGTTTGTTGATTTAAAACATCTTCTACTAAATGGCATACGCCTTGTTTCCAACACAAACGCGAATACCTTCTCCATATAGGAGGAGTTCCCACGTAACCATACACCTGACTGGCAATAGCTAAATTTACAGATCCGGCTCCAGGATTTTGTGATATGTAATGAAGTTTCTGTGTATGCATCGGCTGAAAATATGAATCAACTTAAAAATAGTACTTCTTATAAAATTACTTTGAAACTCACAGCTCCATCCAAGTATAACGATAAACTTGAATTCTTTAGTACGGCTCTATTAAGAACTACCACTAGATTATGCCACTGTCCTTCGTGAAGATCTGGGCACCAAATTCTAGCGTTACAGTCATCGGAGCCTTCTGGTTCCCAATCTCCAATATCTAAAAAAAAAACTTTTTACAACTTTTAAAATGTTTTATTCTAAATGTACTTTTCCCTGGTGTAACTAAAGTCTCTTGGGTCGACACCACAATCGCTTTATCAGCTGCTGATAATAAGATCGATAAGCAAACTAAATTTTCCTCTCTTGGGTTATTAATTGTTCGTACAAGAGTTAATAATCGAACACAATGGGGATCAATTTTTGGATCTGAAAATTTCTCAACGCAAAACCACGTTGTATATGATAGTCCAGTTTGAGGAGGAAATATTCTGTCGCCCGTTCCAATTCCTCCTATTGTATTAGCATCTATAGTTCCACCTGTATTTGGAGCCTGAGGTGCTAAGCTTGGCAAATAGATACACCCGAAGCCTTCAACAGACATGTCAAGTTCTACAAAAGGGGGCAGAGTGCTAGAGCCATGAGCGCGAAAATCTCTGGGTGTGGTCATTGAAACAAGGGTTTTTATTCGAGTCAAAGGAACAGGATCTCCCAATTTATAAGGCTTGGTTAAATTGATATCAGCGCAAGATAGAGGATCACCTAGTCTCAAAAATTCTCTTAATTCAGTAGGTTGCAACGCCTGAGCGGCGAGCCTTTCTAGTATATACTGTAATGGGACATGCAAAGCATTTTTTTCTTCTGCTAGAGCTTTCTTTCCTATTTTCAGCAAACAACCAGCTAATCCATAATCACACATTATCTGCTGGTTTCTTTCGCTTCTAACAAGACTTTTAATAATTTCTGCTAAATACAATTGCAAATTCAAACCCTTTTCAGAGTCTTCATGTTTTATTGATGGCAAAAGTTGAAGCATACTTATTACAACTCCAGGATGCACTATTCTCGGATCTGGCATTTGTTGACCAAAATTAATGTGGTTCGAATTAACAACACTTCCAGGTGGAAATTCTGTACTAGGTGACCTTATATGTTGATCTGGAAACAAACTAATTGCTCCATTTAAATTTGGTTTTTCAAAATTATCTAAAGATATATTATAGAGCAATCTATAAACAATACAAGCGTAAGATAATGATTTTGGTATGCTTTCGTTAAATTCTGAATTTATAATTTCTCCAGTGAATAACTCATGAAAATATCGTAAGCATTGATCATCATGTTTAAAATTCTCTACAAACGCTTCTCCTAATTCTTTTCCTTCTGTAAAACATCCTAGAAGCTTCAATGTGTCAACTAGTGATGCATTGCAAATTTCATGGTGAAAAAATTTTGCGTTTGCTGGTTCAAAACGCATTGCTGTGACTAAAGTTTGACATACCATTTGTAATAACAGAAGAAGATCATATTGATTTATTTCGTTATATTTTTTGTTTTTGTTATTACCTAAAATTCAAAAATTTTTAAAAATTAAACCTCTATTTTAATTTGCCGTGACTTACCATCATTAAGTTTCCCATCTAAAGAAACAAAAACGCTGGTTAAGTAAACAAAACCACCAACTTTTCTGAACACGGTTCTCGTTCTATGACTATCTTTCAAACAACCCAATAACATATTTAATATTTGGATTTTAAATTCAACTTGATATGCTGGAACCGAATGCATTTGACTTAAAATAGATAGCATATCGTCATCGCCCCCAGTTGACAAAATTAACTCTCTAATAATACCTAGTGCTTGAGGTCGACAGTGTTTAAATTTCACTAATTCATGTATACACTTTGCTCCCCCACTTTCTCTAAATATGTTCGCGTTATTGTTATTACCATTTAATAATACTTGAAGTGCCTCCAGTATATGCTTTCCTAAAATATCAGCTTGATCTTCTTGGGAATTCAGAACTTCTATCATTTCATTCAAATTAGTAATTTTTTTTACATGGTCTGAATATCGATCTAAACATGCCACAAATACTTCTAATAATCCTACTTCACGATATACTTCTTTGAAAACCGCATTATGTCTCAAGATATTTAATAAAGTTTTTAGACACAAAATACTACAACTATTTGAATGATTATTTTTCAAAAGCAGGGATAGTGATATTAGTTCTTTGCATGGCACAAAATTTAATTGAAATACTATAAATTCAAGTATATCAAAAAATTTTTCTTGAATTTGGTGGCCCTTTATATGAATTCTCTCAGTAAATTGACTCAATGTGTTTTCTGAATCCAAAATGAAATAATTTGCATTGTCTGAGTGATAAACACTTGATATAGCATCCAATATTGTGCAGCACAGCGCTGAGGATGTTGATTTTAGGAAAACAGTCTGTAAAACTTGAAAAGCATGTATGTTACGCACACACGTTTCACGTGAAGTTACTTGTGGCATTTGAAAATTTTGCATTTTAAAAAGTGTATTTGTTTGATTTTGAATCGGTCGTAATTCATTATATCCACACATACATAAAGATGATATCATTAATACCAAATTCCTTATGGCTGCTTGTACTTCAATTGAACGTTGCCGATCACTTTCTAGTCTAGAATTAGAAAAAGAAGAGCATCCGGAAGAGGATTGATTTTGAGATTTGTTTGCAGAATAATGGTGCTGTGGCTGTTGTTGTGCGTATACACTACTTCTTAAAGAATTTGAAGTTCTTTCATTTATAATTAGGACATTAAAAATAAAACAAAAAAGACAAACAAAAAAAAAATTTACATAACATACAAAATAATAAAAAAGCATTAGAAAAACTTTGATATGAAAGCAAAGAATAATTAATTTTAGTATTTCATTTTAACAAAAACGAATTTTAAAATCATGCTAAACTTTCGATTGAACATTATTATAAAATTAATGATAATATGACTTATTATCATAATCGTTTTTTAAGCATTTTAATATTATGTATAGGAAAATAAATTTGATTTACTTGAGCAAAAAATCACTTAAAAATACGTATCCTTGGGAAGCGCGAAAATCGTCTAATAAAACTTGTGATACTCGACTAGAGTCTTTCAGAAAACAAAAAACAGTAACAAACATTTCAACAACTTCCAACGGACTTGATTCTGGTGGCCGCTGCATATTTTCCACGCATAAGGCCATGCAACTCTTGGCTTAAACAAAATAAAATAAATGAAATAAAATTTTAATATAGAAAAATTTACTTACAATGAATATAATTAACTACTGGTTCTGTTAAACCATGTCTAGACAGCGTTGTCAATACTTCCGCAGCACTTTTTCTCCACATAGTATTATGAGATGAGCATTGAGATGTTATAGCTGAAAACAATAAGGTTAAATCATCCATCCTTGATAATTCTTCAGCTGGATATGGATATGAACATAATTTGACTAGAAGTTGCACAAAAACCTTTTGCAATAAGGTTCTTCGTTCAACTGGAGAAAATTCGTTTAAAGCTCCTGTATTTATAGCTGGAATATTATTATCACTTGATGTAGATGTGGTGATATTTGCAATTACGGAATCTTCAGTAGACTTTGGTTGATTTTCAATTTCAGGTAAATCAAAAAATAAATACAAACATTTAACTAAAGTTGACGGAACGGCAGCCGACGTCATTACCTATATTACATAATTTATGATTAAATATTAGAAAATTTGTTCATAAAAAGTTCTTATGCACTACCCTATTTTTACATTCTAAGTTGAAAATGGAATTTTTCAAGAAAGCATTTTAAAGATTTTTGCTTTTTGATATGTTGATTAAATGTGAAAAACAAATACAAGAAAATATATTGAAATTTTTACAAGAAAGGAATCTGAAACCGACTTACACTCTTAACCGACTTACCCGGTTAAGAGTACGAATTTCATTCGAAAAAAAAAAATAAAAATTAAGTTTTGCATAAACATAGTAACACTGTTAACATAAAATGCTTTAAAGTTTTACATAATAAAATCCTTTTTCTAACTTAATAATAAAAATGAATTATTAATTTAAATTAAAAATAAAAACAAAAAAAGGTCTAGCAAGTTAATTGATGAAAAATAAAATTCAACAAAGTTTTATTTGAAACAAACTCTCATTAACTACAATAGGAATTTATAAAAGATTTTCCACACAAATCGATTTATATTTGGTGACTTCATAGCCCATTATTAGGAAAGTCTATATTGTTCTAGAATTTTTGGCAAACATTCTAGTAAATTTTTGACAAATATTCTAATAAATTTTTATATTACAAAAACAAAGCTATGTATTAATTATACATCAATTACACATATACAAAAATCGTTAAAAGTATATCTCGTAAATTACTCACATTGGTTTGATTTGCTGTTATAAGAAAAAAATTTTTCTTCTAAATCTAAGTTTACTTGATTTTCACTAATCTCTTCTTTGTCACTTGTTTTATTTCTATTTTTCGTTTTTTTTAATTCATCTAGCTATTTGTCAACACATAAAAGACTGCAATGTGTATTGTCTAGATAAGTGAAAGTGTTACAGAATATTTTAAAAAAGCTTGTTAAATACTTCTTTACAATTTTTAAGCTTATTTCAATTTTTAAGGCATTAGCAGTTAGCTTCGGTAACAACCAGAACTCAAATATCAAAGATGAAATTGATGGAATTTCAAGAAATTCCATCAATTCTTTCCGTAGATATGGTAAAAAATATGAAATCGGCCCTCAGATCAGTTTCCGCGCCCTGATCGTTCCAAAAAACTTATATGTTCATTGTTTTAATTAAATTTCAATGAAGAGGAATTAAATATTAAATTTCAATGAAGTCGGTTATTTCTATTTACATACGCAAATATGTATATTTGGCCCGTAGTAGACGTCCAATTGCTAACATCTGATTTCTTTCAAAAGTTAAGAGGTTTCGCGGACGATCGAATAAAGCTTATATATGAAATTTCAAGTAAATCGGTTGAATATTTTCTTTAAAATGATGAAAAATGTAAAGCAGGCCCGCTAAAAATTACGGTTCCCGAGGCCTGATATATTCCAAAAGTTGATCAATGTGCCATAGTCAAAATAAACTTACATATAAAATTTCATCAAAATCGGTTCAGCCGAGCTTGAGATACACGCATGCACATACAGATAGACAGACCGACAGGTTGCTAAAAATGGTTTATTTACATTTATTTACATTTATTTCTCTACTCTGGAGAAGTGTGTTCCCACCGAAAACTCGATATACAAAATTTGTTGTCATCACATAACCTACCTATTGTATACACAATGCGGTTGGTAAAAAAAAGGAATTTAATAGCGTAGAGATATATAGTAGTTGAATTACTGAATGATAAAAACAAAAGGATCAAATTTGATTGGGAAACTATTTTATTTTGGATTTTTTTGCTGATTAATTTTATAAACTTTTCATGCTTTCATTATATGGGTGAAGATACAATTTTGTTTGGTCTTATTTTTTATTTAACTACAAATCTGTCAAATATTATTTCTCTACTTCTCTACTTGCTGGGAGAAATTGACCCTTTTTTATATAATTTTCACTGAATTTAACTATATTTTTTATTATTTAATCGAAACAAATAAAAATTAACATCTATACCAAAAAAAGTAGGAAACATCACTTAAGTTATGGATTAACATCAAATAGTTCGATGTAAAAGTCAATGTGTTATGAATTCAACCGCAAAATAAATTATAAAAACAAAAAAAAAATATAAAATATTTATTGATAAACAAAACTGATATGTATGTCTGAATTAATCTACTAATTTACTAAAAACAACTGCAAATTCATGTTGTTTTCTAGTTCAAAAAAAAAAAACAACGAATTCAAAAATCGACTATGTAAATATGGATTGGAACTTCTATGTTCTACAAATACAGTCGAATCCGTATTTGAGTAATTCGCATATAAACCAATCGTTTGCACATATACCAAAATTGATTTTACTTATTTTTTCAATTGTTCTTTCATAATTTCCATTTTCAACACGTTTATAAGCATATCAGTTAAAAGCAAATATTTGTTACATTTCATTCTTTTTATATCAATCCCTGTAAAAGCAAATGAAATATTTAAATAAAATATTTTTTGTTAGAATCTACAAAATCTTGACACTAAAAATCCCATAATTATGTATGACTTAATGAACTTAAGCGATACTATTTATCCCAAAACTTTTCAAATTTATATATTATACGTTAACACAAGCATTTGTAGAAAACTCGCTTGGAAACGAAACTTGTGCTTAAAAACGTGAATAGAAAAAGAGGAAATTGGAAACATATATGATGCAACGTTTTGATAAAATGAAAATCTAACTTAATGACGGTAATCATTATCCACATGTCAAATTTGAAATGGAAAAAATTTTACTGAGTCAAATTTATATGAAGAAAATGTTGTCAACGAAACTTCTTTACAAATTTCAGACTGATGGAATAATTTTAAAGGGTCTCTGTCGAATGTTTTAAAAAAACGTTTGTATACATAGATAACGGATGCCAGTTCCTGTAAGCCCATCATACCTAATTGATTAAAAGCTAACTCTCATCGTCTTCAAATTGATGTTAAATTAAAATTAATGACAGATAAAAAGACAAATAGAATTTCACTTTATAGAAAAATTTATATATTTCACGAGTTCGGAAGTTTGTCTATTTAGCATTTCAACACACACATTACCATACCCTCTGTAAAAACGGTAGTATAAGCACGGAAATGTAAACAAAAAGAAGTTATATGAAAATTATATTGAAAAATTATATTGAAGGAAGAAAAGAAAAATTATATAAAACGGGGATACACATTAGCATGTAATATTGAGGTATGTATATACAAATAAATTAATCAATGAGGTGATAAAATTAAAAAATTAAAAATGTTTAATAAACGTTATGATTATTTCAATAAAAATTCCAGTGATGAAAAATTCCTTGTAAAAATCCTGTTTAAACACATTTCTTTAAATTAAAGCAACACCCACATAAAAAGAAACTATAATTTTAATAAAATCAACTACGTTTTAAAAAAAATTTTAAAAACAAAAAAAACTTTTTCAAAAAATCAAAATTATTTTAAAAAAGAAATTTAAAATTTGCATACCATTCCAAATAAAAAAAAAATTCGTAAGTTTTTTTAATCAACTGAAAATGAAAAAAAGAAATGTATGAACAAAACAATAAGTGCATGTTTAAAAAGTTCAAATGATGTTAAATGATGATATTAGAAATAAGTAAGTAGGAAAGAAAAAGAGTATGTTAAAACAGGTAAATGACATTCAAACCTGAATCAGTGCAACATCACCGTTGGCCAAAATATTTAATGTTGATAACAGCATCCAACCACTGCTTGATTCTTCACAATTTTCGATTTCTAAAAATTTTACAATTGCTATGGAAGCTGCTTCGGTACTTTGATTGGATGCTCTTTTGCGTATTTCAGCTACCATTAATCTCGAAACTTGTTGGCAAAACGCTACGCAATCCCAAAACTTTTCACTCATATCTGAAGCAGGAGATGCACTAAACACCTAAAAAATAAATCATTTCATAAAATTATCCTTAAAAACGGCTGAAAAAATAAAACTACCTTGCAAAATAAGGGTAACATATTATACAACTTCATATCCCTTTCATGTTCGCTTAAAGCCTCTTTTGGATGTGTATATTCGTTAAATAATTTTTTTAAGTGCATTAAACTAAGGGAAGAATTGTTCCCACTAGAATCATCAATTATATTGATATTAGATAAACCACTGCTTCCGATATTGGAACCAGCAGCAATGTTACTTGGGCCAGTGCCTCCTCCGACTCCACGTAGTTTACGCATAACATTCATAATTACGTATATTTTTATACAAAATTATTTGCAGTCTCTATATATTTCTTTTCCTCAAGCTTTTAATTAGATTTATATTTTTCCTTAACATTTTATTTTTCTGAAATCGAAATAAGGAAAAAGAACTGCTTTAAAAAATGCAGGAAAGATTAGTTTTCTATGTGGGATTTACGTTAATTCTGTAAGAGATTTTACTTTGTCGATTAGATCGAATTTACTATTTATAAGAGTATATAATTTATTAAACTAGTAATACTAAGATAAATAATAAGTTTAAAAACATATTGAGTTATATCATTTTAAAAATGTAAAATATTGATACAAGTAATAGTTTATTAAAAAAAATTGCATACTCATTGTACCTCCAACAATGACATGGCATATTCAATAGTTGCAGCAATATTGGGTTGCCAAACTTAAATAATCTTGATTAGTGCTTACTTGGAACCAGACAAATATTGAAGTACTTAAATAAAAAAATATGTAAAAAATGAATGTACGAACAGCTACTTCAATTTTATATAACTATAGACTGAAAACAAAAAATAAAAAAATGAGCATGGTTCATTTTTATTTTCATGAATATAAAAATGCACATAATAATATCACAATTAATAATGATAATATTATATAACAATATTTTGTAAATTAACTTAATTAATTTATTCGCTCTTTCTGTTGATGTAACTGACTTGTAATTATCTTGTAGCTTCCTTGATATTTGCCAATATAACCAATTTATTTTTATGCACCTGTTTATTTTCCACTATGTTTTTTATGCACAATTTTTAGCGACCGCATTGTGTATACAATAAGGTAGGTTATGTGAAGGAAGTACAAGAATATTGATATGCAAAATTACAAAAGGATAAACAATAGAGTCAGAAAAATGATCAGGGAAGCAAAAAGTAAACAATGGCAACAGCAATGCAAAGAGATAGAAGATCTAGATAAGCAGCACAATTCCTTAATGTTACACAAAAAGGTGAAAATGGTAACAGGCACCAACAAAAAGAAGTTTTGTGGCAACTTAAAAGATAAAAATGGCAGTATAATAATGAGTGGTGCCGAAAGGCTAGAGAAATGGAAAAATTATATCGAAGAACTGCTTCACGATGAAAGGGGCGAAATGAACAAAAGAGACAATGCACAAGGTCCGGAAATTTTAGAAGATGAAGTAAGAAAAATTATAAAAAATGCAAAGGAAAATATAGCAAATGGACCAGATAGAATCGAAAACGAAATACTAAAATTGCTAGAATCTAATGGTGTAAAGGCCTTGACTCGTCTATTTAACAGAATTTACGATACAGGTGTTCTTCCTAACGAATGGTTGTCATCTACTTTCATCACGATACCAAAAAAAAGCAATGCAACAGAATGTAGCGATTATAGAACAATCAGCCTAATGTGTCACGCGCTGAAGCTATTCCTAAAGGTAATTCACAACAGAATTTATAACAAGCTGGAAGTGGATATAGGCGAAACGCAATTCGGAGAGGCTCTTTTCACTTTAAACACAATTATTCAGAGATGTAGAAGTGTAAATGCTGACGTACATGCTTGTTTTATTGACTACGAAAAAGCATTTGATAAAGTACTTCATAAAAAACTTAGCGATATCCTAATTAGCAAAAATCTAGATACCAAAGACATCAGAATAATAGAAAACTTATACTGGAAGCAGACTGCGGTTCTGAGAACTGGAGATGGAACAACTGAGGAAATCAAGATAAAAAGAGGAGTAAGACAAGGTTGCATCCTTTCGCCAACCTTATTCAATATTTACGCAGAAGAAATAGTAAAAGAAGCACTTGAGGATAGCGCATCTGGAATAAAAGTAAATGAAAAGGTAATAAATAATATAAGATATGCAGATGATGCTGTCATTATTGCGGATAAGAAAGCGGATTTGGAAAAAATGGTGAAAAAACTAAAAGACGTCAGCTCCCAATACGGCTTAAAAATGAATATATCTAAAACAAAATATATGATGTTTGGTAAAAAAAGAACCGAAGACTCTCCTCTAAGAATTGACAATTCCGAAATAGAAAAAGTGCAGAGAATCAAATATTTAGGTACAATAATCGATTCAAACACAGAGAACACAAGCGAAACAAAAACAAGGATTGAACTAGCCAGAAAGGCGTTTATCAACATGAAGAAAATATTCTGCAAAAATGAAATTAACTTAGCATTGAAAATGAGATTGCTGAAATGCTATGTGTGGTCAATTCTGTTATATGGCTGTGAGACATGGCTGTTAAAAAAATTCGAAATGAATAAAATTGACGCCTTTGAGATGTGGCTATATAGGAGAATATTAAAAGTATCGTAGACTGATCATATAACAAATGCAGAAATTTTAAGAAGAATGAGATCAAAAAAACAAATAATGAACACAATAATGTCTAGAAAATTGAGATACTTTGGTCATTTTATCCGAGATTCCAAATATGAGATACTTCAAGTGACAACGCAAGGAAAAATTCTTGGTAATAAAAGCAGAGGTAGACAGAGGAAAACATGGGTGCAAAACTTAGGCGAGCATTTTAATTTATCACCATCAGAACTTTTTAAACTGGCCAAAAACAAAACAAGAATTGAGCAGATAATATCCAACCTCCAAAGCGGAGACGGAACTTAAAGAAGAAGAAGATGTGATGGCACCAAATTTTGGATGTTGAATTTTCGTTGGGAATTTTCGTCCATGGTAGGGAAGTGATAAAAGTGCTAAACTATTTTTAGCAACCTGTCGGTATGTCGGTCTGCGTGTGCACGCGTGTATCTCAAGTTCGACTGAACCGATTTTGATGAAATTTTATATCTAAGTTTATTTCGACTATGGCATGGATTGATCACTTTTGGGATTATCAGGCCTCTGAACTTTTTAGCGAGCCAGTTTTACATTTTTGATCATTCGACCGTAGCTTCTTTCGACCGTACGCGAAACTTCCTAATTTTTGGAAGAAATCAGGTGTTAGCAATTGGACGTTTTCTACGGACCAAATATACATTTTTGCGTATATAAACAAAAATATGCAACCGATTTAATTGAAATTTAATATTTACATTCGAGGTGTTACAACAATGAATCTATAAATTTTTGGAAAGATCAGGGCTCGGCAACTGATCTGGGGGTTTTATGATCTGATTTTACAATTTTTATCATATCTACAGAACGAATTGATGGAATTTCTTGAAATTCAATACATATTTGAGTTCTGGTTGTTGCCAGAAGTTACTGACGAACTTTTCGTACAATTTGGACGGCACAAAATGTAACTCTACTAAGAACCAAATTCTCATTTTTCTAGGTATGTTAACTAAAAGCTTATTAGTGTTCAAAAAATTCTTCAATGGTTGATAATTTTTCCGAAATATAATTTTTTTTTTATTGGTATGAAAAGAAAACTTCCTTTTATTCGGAATAAAATACTTTTTTTTTTTTATTTTTGCTAAGTAATATATTTCGTGCGCTACATACGCAATTTATTAAAGCTGATTTTCTTCTTATCAATTAGAAGAAAATCAGCTTTGATTTGCTACATACACACTTATCAATAAAAATTTTTTTTATGTCGGCAAAAGGTGCTTTAATTTTCAATGTCCTTTTACAAATAGAAGGCTGTAAAAGAAAATCTAAAGGATACAATAAAAGCCAAAACTCTGAAGGTAATATTAAAAGTTCGTTACATCAAGAGTAAAACAATATTCGATTCACCTATAAGAGATTTTGAGAACTTGTAGAGCTAAAAAATGAAATATGCAAACTCAAAGCGTTATTAAGACAAAAATCAATTACGTTGTCATATACGAAACAGCTGTAGAAAAATTAACTAGAGAACCTTATTGCATTCTTAAAACCAAAACAAACTCCAAAGAAAAGTCAAAAGTTCATTAAAGATTAAACCGCAATTAGAACTGCATAGCGCTAAAATAAACAGATCTTCTCAAAGAAAAATTTATAACAAAAAACCCTTCGCTAATAATTAAATCAAAATAAATATGAATCAAGGAAAATATGATTAATTAAAAATAAATGCTAAGTAAATTTCAGATAATTAACTAAAATTGTAAATAAAGCCAAATTAAAAGGATATGCGTATAAAAATAAATTGCCTATCGTCAGGTGATCTTAAATGTGAATTATCGAACGTGCATTTAAATACTTATCTGTACGTATTACCAAATGAAATGTAGAAAACAAAAGAAATTGATGTAAATATTTAAGAAGTTGCCCTCTTTTCAGGTTGTCCTTCGATTATATAAAATATATAAAATAGAATATTTTCGTCACATGGGAGTGAAAACTGAGGTTCTTTGAAGTTATTAGTTCATTTTTTAATGAATCGGCCAGAGTATCGGACAGATACAAAAAATTTTGCGAAAGAGCAGACCTAAAAAAATTCGGGGTAATCGTGCAAAGACTCCAAAGAAGATCAATACTTTCATATCAAATAAAGTAAAAAATGGAGCTACATACTCAAAAGTACCAACCAAAACTACAGAAAATAATACAAAGAAATGAGCTAAGAAAATCAAAGAAATGGACAATAATATACTGCAAAAAATAAAAAAATTGACAATAACATAATACAAATGATGCAAGACACGCTATTAAACATTAACGAAATCTCAATGAGATTATAACTACAGTATAGAGGAAATATACTAAATTATATCAACCAACCCCGAAAAGATTTTTAAAAAAATGTTAGTAAATAAAATACGAATAGCTACGTGGAACGCTAATGACGCTTTAAGTAGAAAACATGAATTAGAGGTTTTTCTTAAAACTAAAATTTAATAAGAGAAAGTTCTTTGTGAAAAACACTAAGAGCCGACGAAACGAAACCTATATTGAAAAAAATAGATGAATCATGGTCAAAAGAAAAAACAATAAAGCTTAAATCAATACGTATAGCCCAATGCTTAAGACTCGCAAAAAAGTCATGAATGCAGCAGCAAACCTAAGGTCCTAATGCTTGAAAAGTGACGGAAGTAATTGCGAAGTAAGCCAATATTTCTGCTACCAAAGATATTGAAACTTTTTGTTGTTAAAAACGCTGACCCCTAGAATAAAAAATAAGAAATTAA